TTTTTCATGACCAAATTCCTCGGTGCATGTACAAATTAAACAGATCCACAGTATGAACTAGAAAAATATGTAAGAAAGACAAATCACAAACTCTATATGAAAATTAGGTTGGTATAACAGGCATGATCTGAATAAATATAGAATTGAATCCTTTTTTTTTACGTAATCACGTGTCTTTCCCTCATCTGTTCTTTTTCATCAATAGAAAAAAAAATCAAACTGAAGACTTAACAATGCTCTTTCCTTACAGTGCTGAAATACTGGTACATCTTGCTTTGACTGTGACTTCTGCTGAAGAGCAACACATAATCTCAATGACTGGACTTATTGCAACATCAATTTTTTTTCCTTTTTTTTTTTAAGCATTGTCCATTTAAAGCAATATAGTCAGGTACGAGGTTATTAAAATCTATTGTGTAATATCATGCACAGTAATTCATATTACATCATATGAAGAATGTTGATGATATCAGTATCACTCAGGGTGCAATAAAAATAGACATTTTTATCAGGTAAGGGCAAGCTGACTGACAATGCCCCGAACTGTTTGTATTAGACTCTGGTATTGTTGTGGGTTGTTAACGATCAGAGAATGAAGCTGGACCATGTAACTGTCAATGCTGTCCTCTGTAGGTACTTCTTGAGTTCCTGTAAAAAAATATATGAATAAATAATAATGACTAAGAAAATTACAAATCTCTACATTTATCTCATTTATATATAAACTACCTATATTGAGACAAATAAAATATCAAATGTCTAAAGAGCAAATGAGAGAGAGAGAGAGAGAGAGAGAGAGAGAGAGAGAGAGAGAGAGAGAGAGAGAGAGAGAGAGAGAGAGAGAGAGAGAGAGAGGGAGAGGGAGAGGGAGAGCATTATTAATGGAAAGAACTATTACCAGGTAGTGGAAGTGCTTTGAACGCTTTGGTGAGGGTTTGTCTGAGGGTCTCTATATGCTGCTGAAGTGCAGCATTGTTACTGCGTTGTTGGCTGGTCTCATTCTCAAGTTTCTCTACTGTAGATCTGTAAGAAAGGAGTGTAATGATCAGACATTAGCTTTGAAATACATCCACCCTTCATTATTACACTGTGAACATGTGGGACTTACTGAGTGAACATAGTGCTTATTACACATATATTGAGAAGGGAAAAGTGAAATAAAGAGAGAGAAAAGATGTACTTACTTCATGCTCTCAATATGCTTCTGCAGGATAGCATTCTGTTCTTCGTAATCTGTGTTTGATTTACGAAGCTGGCGTAATTCCGCTTCTCTTGCTGAGATGAGTGAAAAGCAAAATTAGAAAACATTTTTTGGCATAACCATAATGTAAGCAAATTAGTAAAATGTTCCATATAGCAGAATAATGTAAAATTTAGTAATTGTGTGGAATATACCTTTATTATGGTTAAGGAACTCTTCTGTAAAGATTGGTATCTCCAAAGCAGACTGGGAGTTCATTGGTTCCTATAAGGAAGGAAATAATACAGAATTAGTATATCATTAAATGACAGCTAATAATACAAATAATTATAGAATACACAGACCCACACAATTTATATCCATAGAAAAATTTAACCCCTATAATCTGGATGACGTGACCATTGCATGATGAAAAAATTTGGCCTGAGAGGTGGTTGGCATGAATATGTTGTCATGGGAAAATTTGTCCAAGGACCTGGGTGATGGCAACTTGCCATCATGAGAATTTTGGCTGAAGCTCAGAGTGATGGGAATGACTCACCAAAAGTGCACAAAGATCTTGGAGTCAGATTGTATTATGGGAAATTGAATATTATGGTAAAAAAAACAAAACAAAACATAAATATCAAAATGTTACTTATTGTTAATATCAATGCAATGAGTATGGACTGCCTAGGGAGATGATATGGATTCTGTACATGGAAAACAATCTATTACCATCTGGATAAAGCAACTGAAATGACAAACACATAAGAAAATGGCAAATAAGCTAAAGAAGCTTAAGCAGAAAATGAGAAAATAACATTGCAAAGAGAAGGCATGCAATTATTTATGTGCCTTGCCACTATGTCCCATCAGAGTGGCCACTCAAGTAAGCCTAATGCCCGTATTTTGTGCCACGTGTGGGCAGTGACGCTTCCAGATCCAAGGGGTTAAACTCCTACCATTAATCATCAATTTGCCATTTATAATCAAAGAAGAAAAAGAGAGAAGGAAAAAAATAAACCTACTTCCTCTTCTTCTTCCTTCCTCTCTTCCACCACCTCCTTCCTCGGTTTCTTAGGGGGCGTTGGAGTCTCCTCCTTGTTCTGTTTCATAATGAAGTTCTTGTAGGCATCAGTTTTTTGATACTCCTCCAGTTCCTTCTGGTATCTGTTGGTAGGGGTGATGGGTACTGAATCAATCATGTATGTGTGCTGTGGTAAGTCAAGGAATAAAAGAGAGGTGACCTGGAAAAACTGGGGTAGATGAATAGGTTGCTCTGGGTGTTCCTGCTGCCTCGACAAGCCTGATCTTGCT